ACGGAACTTTAGCAATAAGATTATTTCGTAATTTAATCAACTTCAGTGTGCCAGAGGATACATTGGCTGAATACATGAGTTAGCAAGTTACAGTTGGGGCAAAACAACTAGATTTGAACTTGGGACATACATTTTTTAGCACAGTTGTGTGTATACTGTCTGTCACATCCAGTAGCCTGTCTGGCAGTATTTGCTCTTATCTGATCTGGATATAATATGACTTGTACAAAGCAGTTTGTCTGGAAATGCTCTTTCTGTTCTGAAAAGCCATAGGGATCACATGATTCCAGTCCATTCTCTTGTAATGAACAAAGGAACTTAAACCGAACCCCAAAAAATACATATTTAAGGATGTTTTTTCGCAGGTTTGTGTACACGTTGTGTCACTTCCCAACCCAATTTTCTGCATATTTAAAACAGGAAAATATGCAGCAAAGAAGTCACGGAGGACTGATGTAGAAGACCTGACTCCCAACCCCAGAAAACTTCTACAGATCGGTAATGAACTGAGGAAGCTGAATAAGGTGATCAGTGACCTGACACCAGTCAGTGAACTTCCCTTAACTGCCAGACCGAGGTCAAGAAAAGAAAAGAACAAGCTGGCTTCCAGGTATGTATTAGATAATGCTACATGGATGAGTAAATGTGAATTACTGCAACTGTACGATTAAGATCGAACTAATTTTTGCCTCAAGAGATCCTGCTTCATCATGACAGTTCCTGCAGTGGGCTAATTACCAGTTTATCAAAAAGCAGGGCAGCTGGAGCTTTGGAGATGTAGTTTGCCCATTCCCTAGATAACGATGTATTTCCACTGAAAGCTGGCTTACTTAGCTGCAGGGCAAACGATTGATACAGTGATAAAATCCACAAATGGAAGTGCAAGCAAATAGAGGTAGCACAGCGCTTTCAGCGAAGGTGAGTGAGTAGACAGGTGATTTTGTACGTCACAGCTCTGGGAGTATTGGTGGATAAGTTTGTGTGGCAAACAAACAGATGCTCTTAGTATTCTGGAGTTTTTGTTAGTGTTCTAATTCTTCCCCTCTTCTTACTATAGGGCTTGTAGACTAAAAAAGAAAGCCCAGTATGAAGCCAATAAAGTAAAACTCTGGGGTCTCAACACGGAATATGGTAAATACAACTCTTCGCATCTTAATTTTTCTCTTGTTCAGGCAAGTCTGTGTTTTGCACCATCATGTAACCTGGGTCATACCTGGAGGTTCTTAGAGAAAACAGGGTTGGTAAAAACCCAACAGTTTTTTTGGTACAAAAACAGTCTGCTCCATAAAGTGTACGTGACTTGGTTACCTGCAGTGTTGAGCTAATTTACAGATGTAAATTACGTAAACGTATGCATGTAATGTAAATATTTTTGAAAATATGTTTACAGATGTAAACCATTACATCTTAATTTTACAGTAAGTGTGATGTGACACCTTTGACGCTTACAGAAAACAGTGTGTGGACAACTGTGGATCTCTCTTGCTCCAGGAGGAACGTGCTGTAAATCTAATCCAGTTGGTTTTCTTTGCAGATAACTTACTGTTTGTGATCAACTCCATTAAACAAGAAATTGTTAATCGAGTGCAGGTACCTAAAGATGATAGAGGAGTCAACATGGAACAAAAGTTGAACATACTTATTAAAGACACTCTTGGTAAGCAGTAAACTTAATGTATTCACGTGTATGCGAAGAGACATGTAATGTATGATACGTTAGATTGCAAACAATTTCTGGAATGAGAAAAGGAAGAAGCACTTCGTAATTTCAGTTGTCTGTGCTTTTCTGTTGGTTACTCACCAAAGCATTCATTGGCTTTGTATTACTTACAGGAATGTATAAACACGTGCAATGAATAGTGACCTTACAGCATGTTTTCTTACCCTCCCTTTTTAGGATTACCTGTAGCTGGGCAGACATCAGAATTTGTGAATCAAGTTTTAGAGAAGACTGCAGAAGGAGACCCCACTGGTGGCCTTGTAGGGCTGCGAATACCAATGTCAAAAGTTTAAGACATGACTTAGCTGTTCTCCTCGGTCAGATTCTACCTGTGTTGTCAAGTACTTCATTGTAAATTGCATTCTGGTCTGCATGTCAGTTTAGCATTATGTAAACACTTACAATTAGGTTCCATTGTTTTTAAATAACAATGTAGTAAAACAAATCAAAGCATGATATAAAATGCTTAATAGCATTTTTGGAGCATAAACCAGATAGTTTAAAAGCTGCTTTATGATTAAATACAGAGATGAGGATTGTTTTTAAAATTAAGTTACCTAGGACCAGACTATATCGCTTTTGTTTTAGAAGCAAAAACATGTTTTTGCTAGTAAAAATTTTTAGCATACGCCAGACGTTGTGACAGGTTTATGCTCCAAGTAAAATCAGAGGAAGCATTTTTTTTGTAAAGCTGTCAATTTAGGGTTTGGGTTTTTTTTGTTGTTCTTTTTTTTTTTTTGAATAATTGGATTTTCTTTATTCTTAAAAAACAGTAAGCTTTCTTTGCAACCATTAACTTGTACATAGCACACATGGCATTAGAGCTAGTGTGCCATATAAGACTTTAATTTTCTGAGCTTAATATAGTATTTAAATGTCTGTGCAAGCAAGAGAAAAAAAAGTATATTCTTTGTGCCTTGTATTTTTGGGGGGAGAGCTATCAGTATAAGCTGGTAAAGTTTTGTATGAAGAAAACCCTGAGGGGAAAAACCAAGATGTATAGATGGTAAGATGAGGGGTTTTAATGTATTTGTTCCAGCTCTTAAAATTTTTGAATGTATATAGGAATATGTTGAAAATGTAGATATATGCCACAGAGTCTATGTATTGTATAAAAGATGGCTCTAGAAAACTCAATTTCGGTACTTTGGCCGGAAGAAAACAAATACTTGCACATTAATGCGATTGTTTATTTTTGTACCAAAGACAAATGCAACTGATATGGCGAACTGCCAGTCTAAGTAAAGTTTTGCACAGCTTATATGATACTGTACTGAATGTAAAAACAAATGAAAAAAGAAAAAAAATTAAAGGTCAGGGTTAGGGATCTTACTGAACTGTGAATTTTTTTGTTTGGGTCCAATTATCTACAGAAGGAGCATTCATACATAACAATATTATTTTGCTGTTCTTGTAGTTCGCTTCCATGGTAGATAAGTTGGTGGCCGTCTCGGAGTCTTTAAATCTTTTTTCTCTGCACTTACTGTAGGAGATTTTAATATATTTGGATTTTAGTAAGCTATTGGTAAAATAGTTTTCAACTTTGAGAATTTAAAAAAAAATATTTAGCTTGTTGTAGTATACTTCCACCAAACAACCAAAATAAAATTATTTTTATTGTAATGTGTATATATGTAAAGAGAAAAAAGAGCTACAAATATCTAATTCCTTAGTTGCCACTTTTCCAGTTGATGTATTATTATGCATGTGATGTTTCCAAGGATCAACACAGGCTTCAAACAAAACAAACAAAAAAAAAATTTATAGACTTTTATATTTTTGTACAGGTATTTCGAAACTAGCTTCTTCAAACTTATATGTGACTTATTCTTGTTAATTCAGTAGTTTCTATGGTTGAGGAATATTAACACACAGTTCTTATTTGCTCTTCTGCTAATAAGAGTTGGCTTTGTAGTCAGTGTTAACGTCCAGATTAAAAGCTTTAGCCTTTGATGAGAAAGTCCTTTATCTCAAGGCAAGATCATTCTCTGGTTTCATGGACCCCCCCTTTTCCTCCCTGTTCTTTCTCTCCCTATTTAAAGATGACAAAACACTGTTTACTGAAAATAGAAATACCAAATATTTTCAAATGTAGCTGCTGAAAAAAAAAAAATGCAAAAGTCCATGAAGGCTTTCTCCCCGCTCCCTTTGGGGAATTTCTCCGTTTCTGGTTTGTCTGAGTTTGTTTGCACTGTGATTCCTTTTTGTTTATAAGTAGATTATTTTTATATCCAAGCTTGTACTATAAAAAAAAAAAAAAAAGTCTGAATCAGCAATAGTGCAGTAAGAGTGGCTGATGAAGGTGGCAGAACTGCCACATACTTGTGAGTATGCACACAGCTTTCTTTGTATCTAAATGTTTTGGAAGACTCAAAAGGGAGGAGGAGGCCAAAATACCACTACTGAGCTGTACAGAAAGTCTTTCCTACAGGAGACTGAATAAATACCCAGGCTAATTTAGGCAAGACTTTGTAAATCCACTTAAGACTTGCAAAATCGAGGTGGAATGTGGGTGTTTTTGTTGTTGCTGTTAGGCTAAGGTGAGAAGTTGGCTGCTGCTTTACCCAACGGGTCAGGTGTATTCCTATTGCAACTATTGCTGGTGTTGCAGTTATTCCGGAGATGCATATGGCCCATGGAACCCCGACAAAGAATGTCTCTTGTGAAGTTCAGGCCACGTCTGTACCAGGATTTGAATACTGTTGTTCCTTTCTGATGCATGGTGTTAACGCACCGCTCGGATACGAGAGGTCCTTGTGTTATGTCCAAACCGTGTAGACAAGGCAGCATTTCTAAACGTTAGGAGAGCAGTTCTGCAATCAGGTAAAAACTTTTGTGACAAATTAAACTGACAAGGTATTAAAAAGCCCCTTTTTTACTGCTCAGAAATACTGGGCAAATATAACTTTATAGCTTTTTATTTTTGTCTGAAAACCAGAATATGATTTTGGTCTAGCATTTCAAAGTAGACTTTGAATCTGTAGTGAATTCCATACCCTTGCATTTCAGTGTTTTCTATGTATTATTTTAAGTTAAAGCTTTTAAATAGTTGAGCTTTGTAATGTTGACACTTTATTTTGTACCTATTTATATGTATGTATATCTTAGAAAAGCACTTTGTTTAAAAAAAAAAAAGGAAAAAAAAAAAAGAAACTGCGTTTTATATGATTCCTGCCACTTGCTGCTAACTCTGGGCTGGTCAGAATGCTGCAGCGATACTTGATATAAATAAAACCTGGCAGTAAAATGTAGAGTAAAGATAAGACCTTTTGCTGGTTTAACTTTATCCTAAAGGTGACATAGGCGAGCTGTGCAGCTTTACATTTTAACCAGGGGACTCTGTGGCATTTAAACCGTCTAGAAATGGTTGTACTTTAATGCCAGTAACAATCTGCTTCCTCTAGTGTCATTAAAATATATACATTTAGTGTATACTTATCACAAACAAAAATCTTTTAAAGGTATAAAATCCAACAAATGTATATGTTCTGTTTTTTGGCAATTGTGGCATGCATTTTTGGATGATCTTTAGAGAAGACCATTTTCTAAAGATTTTCAGTGTTCATACATGGTATGTGGATCTTAATGAAGTCCTGGATTTTTTGGTTTGTTTTTGAGTGTAGGCATTGTGAATATTCACTTTTAATCCTATATCCAAAAACAATTATATATTTTTTGATTTAATACAAACAAAAGCTCTTCCTTTTTCTGATACACTGGATTCTCTAGAATTTGTTTCCATGTTAAAAGCATGCTGTCATAACTGCTCTTGTTGAGATCTTGTCAGCCTGAACTTAGGTGCCACACTTGGAATTGATGGACTGCTTGTTCTACTGTACCATGTATGATTCTCGTCCTTTCCTACTTCCTTCACGACAGATGATGATGTGGCTTTATATTGTGCCTTACTTGTACATCTAGAACTAAATGTTTTTCATTCCCTCTGAACTCTTCACACCTAACCCTTCTGAAATTGAATCAGAACGATAAAAGCATCCTGCAGAAAGTCTGGATAGGTCTGATTTCAGTTTCTCTCAGTAGTAGTCCTTTTGTATTTATATGGAAGACCAGTTTTTGAATGGCCTTGCAAAATGTGGGGGTGCTCATGAAGGGTGTTTTTTAGCCCTAAACCCCTTTTGCTAACGCTTCCGTTTATGGTTTATTGAACACATTTACTGATACTTGGTGAGTACTATTTTTTTTTGGATGAGAGAGACTTACTACTAAAGCTATGTTTACGTGTGGATGGGCTGGATTTTCTTATCATACCAGTTGAAATCATTGTGATTTAATGAAGTTGCATTGCTGTGTAGCTGATGTGAGAGTCAGGCTCAGCTGTGTTCAGTTCCTAATACTTTACAGATAGACTTTTCCATACTAAGAGGGCCAGGAAAAGGGTTTTTTTAAAGAAAAACCAACCAACCCAACACCCTGAAATTGATGAAGGGTCTTTTAACTAACCTAAAAGCAACCAGACACTTCTGAAATACAGTGGTGTCAGCTTTGATTTTATTTTACAAAGATCCCCCCCTAATATTTATCTGACGTTTGCCTTCATTAACAAAAAAGTTAGTTTATTCACAAAATATAAAGACTGGACATGCTTTTCTTTTCCATAAATCATTGAATCATAGCTCTTTTTTTAAAGCTCTAAAAGGCTTTATCAGGAGAATTTCGAGTTGCCTTCAGCAGAAATAGCAAATGCAATTCTGTTCCTCAAACGTGCTTGCTAGTCTTCCTGAAATTCTGTTGAGGCATAACCCAATTATGTACCGTGAATGTTAGGATCTGTATTTGGCCTTGAGACCTGAATTTCAAGAATGCTTCTAATCATGATTTTATTTGCTTTCCAAGTTGAAGGCTTCAGTTGGAATCATCTAGTTAAGTGTACTGCTAGATGTGGTCTTGGCTTATTGACACAGCCTTGCACATAGCTGAGGTTTATTTTGTTTACCCCAGGGATCGTGCGAAGTACATTTCAAACAGTTACTGCTTCAGTGACTGATTCTTCTTGTAACTGTATTAAGGGCATTAGTATGTTGAGAAAACACCACTCTTGAATATCTCCCAATATAAACTGGGATTCTTAAACGTCATTAATGAAACATGGCACTTTTAGGTTGTATCTTCTTTGCAGCATACAAAAATGTCTCTATCTTCCTACAATTTACATTACACAATATGCCATGTTTTTTCCCCCAATGCTTCTAGCATGATAAGGAGGTGTGTGTGCGCACTGAATTATAATCCTCAGCCTCTTAGACATTCATGAACTTCCACAAGAGCAAATACT